GATTATAAAAAAGGCAAAACCTCTAATGAACAAGGCACTAGCAAAAGCTTTTAAAACGGCTCATAAAGTTGGAAATTTAACAAAGAAGACGAAGACTGGAATATTACAATTATCAAAGAGAGTAAACACCAAGGTAAGTCAATTGAAAGAAAAGAAAAAAGCGTATCAAGACAAAGTAAAAAATAAAATAAAAAAAGTACTCAAAAAGCCCACAAAAGTAATAAAAAAGCATTACACAAAGTGCTCAAAAAACCAAAGAAAATCATCAAAACGACGACCAAAAAGCTGACAAAGAGATTGACCAAAGTAGCGAATGGTCTTGGGAAGAAGTTGGTAAAAGCTTTAAATAAAAAAGTCGAAAAGCCCAAAAAGGAGAAGAAAAAGGTGCCCAAACCCAAAGCACCTAAACCAAAGCCCAAAAAAGAAAAGAAGTCGTTATTGTCTAAATTGGTTAGTTTACCAATAAAGAAAAAGTAATTTTAAATGAATTAAAATTTCAATGAAGTGTTAATATGTTTTGTTTTTTAATATTTGAAGTAGTAATGTAATTATTAAAAAAATCCAAATATAAAATACTTTATTTGGTATTATAAAAAAATAGGGTCAGGCTTTCCCCACCCTCACCCCGTCTAAATATAGAATTAATTTACTATATTTTATAATTTTTTAATTATAATTATAGTAAATGGGCGTTTTGGATAATATTAGGTCTGGTTCCTGAATTCAGGAAATGCCGAAAATTCACCTTGATTTAGTGGAAACCGAGTGAGACGGAGCATTGAAAAGAAGGCTCTAAAGGCCGCACTCAAACAGTCTGTTTGTGCACCGTTTCACCCACTTTCCAAGTCCCCCCTTGGCGCGGATCCCTCTGACCCCCCAGCAAGCAGGGGGGAACCACACCCGCGTCCACACAGCACAAACAAGGAAAGTGGGTGACATGGGGACGCACAAACTGTAGCTGAAAAGTGGACTTTTTTAAAAAACACTAGCGGCAAATACTTTATTTTGGTAAACGGGGTGAGGGGGGAAAGGACAGCCCCAAAAAAATAATTATAATTTATTATAATTATGTTATAACACTGTATTATATTATTTTAACTTTTATAATGTTTAGTATAGTAATTATTTCAAATACTTTTTTTGTCAAAATGTTGTCGTTTGTGGCCCGTTTTTCGATATTAATAACTTGAATGTATCAGGAACTTTTTCAAAATGCCAGAAAATGATTGGTCCAGTTTTTTTTCCCGTTCTTATGAGTTTTCTTTCACAAAAGGAACAACGTTCAGAGAAAAGACAATTTTAAAAAACTGACTTTACAACCAAACAAAGAAAACGATAAAACGTTTATTATTCTGTGTTTTTATTTGTGTTATTAACAAAATAACATAAATAAAAATTTAATAAAGTTTTTTTTTGTTTTTATCATAACAAAAATCGATCATAAAAATAGATTATAATATATTTTATAAATTTGTTATATCGACACAACTTATTATAATTTATTTGACTGACCAACAAATAGTATTATGTTACATTGTTGTCAATTTGAACAATATTGTTTTATTGAATCAATTTAGTTTACAGTTAACGGAAAAAGTGGGATGCTGAGAAAAAGGGGGATGCCAATCTTAATATTAATTAATTTAATATTATTAATAATAAATAATTAATATAAATTTGTTCAGTTTTTTCATTTTATTAATTTTTTGATTAATAATTTATATTAAAATTAATAGTAATTTTATTATTTTCAATTGAAATTAACCAATAGTTACTAGCATCCTCCTTTTTCGAGCATCCCCATATTTCCTCTTACTATAATACTTTTTTAATATTGACATATTTAATAATATTATTTTATGCTTTGAACCTTTTTTGAGTTGTTTTTGTTTCACTTAGGTGTAGTTATCGTGTATTTTTTAATCAAAAATTAGACTCGTATTCACCACAACTCTGGTAAAATTGTTGCGTGTCGTTTTTTTCAAAACAATGAACAAAACAAACCCTTTTTAAATTTTAAACCAACCAAATTTTTATAATAAAATAACCATTAATTATAGTAACAAACAAAACCCAACAAAAAATATTTTTAAATTAATGGAAATCATTTTTCGCAATTGTTCACACCTTTTTTAAGGTAATTTGTGATTGTATTTATCAAAAAATAATAAAACGGATGTTTCAAGGCTTTCAACCAGAAAGAGGTTTTTCAAAATAATCAACCACAACATTTCGAGTTTTTCAAAATTATCTTTTCGAAAAAGGAATACACCATTTAAAATTCGGTTGTTTTTCAAACTTTTAGTTTGTTATTGTATTGTTTTGAATCAAGCAACCTAAAACAGGGATTACTTTTAATTGAGACCCCTTCATATTAACACCTTTAGAACCAAAATGATTGTCCCCAACTTATTAACAAGAATATCAATTGAAAATACAATTACACACTATTTAACTTTGTTTTTCATATTTTAAATAACGAAAGATTTTGAAAAGAAATTGAACCAACTTTCAATCCAATTACGCTTAATGCAAAAACTTGATACTCCAAGTATATTCATTGTCTCGAATTACTTTGACTCGATAAGTGACTTTATCGCACTCGAGAGAGTTTGTAAACGGTTCAAAGATTTTACAGAATGCTACCACTTTAACCCAATTCCGCTTACTAAGCGCGCGCTGAAGTGCTTTAATACAATTGAGACGCTCAACATTTGGGACAAAACAAATGAACTTTTGACTTTTCGTCTTGACAAGCGACCGAAGCCAAATAAACTACTGAAAAACATTGATAAAGTAGTTGTGTGGTATTCTATTTCATATAAAGAGAGTCTCAAATACAAAACAAAGAACGTTATATTTAAGAAAATTTCATTTACCTTGGATGATAGAAAGCATTATGGCAATATTGTTCCTGGCGGTGTTGATGAAATTGGGGAGAAATGTTTCAAGTCCTGTGATGTTATTAGAGAGATGGTAATTCCCCAAAAAGTCAAAGTTATTGGTGCTAATAGCTTTGAAAATTGTGTTTGTTTAACTAAAATGAACTTGTCTACAACCGTGCAAGACATTGGCGTGTCATGTTTCAGTGGATGTCAGTGGCTTCGCGTTATCAACTTCCCGGAGAGTGTTCGGAACATTGGTGTCAATTGTTTCCAAACATGCACTTCACTGAGTTACATCAATCTACCAACAAGCTTGAGCAATCTTTCAAATTCATGTTTTTCAGATTGTTCTTCTCTATCACAAATATATATCCCACCAACCATGTTATCCATAGGGTGGAATTGTTTCTATTACTGCACGAGTTTGAGTGCTATCGATGTACCCAAAAACGTCACTTCTATAGGCAATCGATGTTTTTTCAATTGTTATTCATTGAGTAAAGTAAACATTGTAGGGGAAATCAGTGAACTTGGCGATTATTGTTTCTATGGGTGTGAAAAACTCACAAAAATAACATTACCAACTAGTCTAAAAATTATCGACAAATTCTGCTTCGAAAAGTGTAAAAGCCTCAAAACAATAGAACTTCCAGAATCACTCGAGACGATCGGAGAAAATTGTTTCTCAGACTGTTTTACACTCTCAACCATCACAATTCCAATCCACGTGACTAAAGTGAACGACAGCACCTTCAAAAACTGTTACAAACTCCGAACAATCAAAATCTTGGGCAACACAAGTTCTTATGGAGACTTCGCTTTTTCAAATTGCTCGTCATTGCAAAATGTGGATTTGCCACAAAACGTCACCACAATTGGAAATTTTTGTTTTTCAAATTGTCTTTCAATCAATACTGTTGTCCTTCCCAAAACCACAAAATTTTTTCCGTTGAGTTTTAGTCAGAACATAGCAATCGTGAAAAGAGAAGAGTTGTAAACTAAATATTTTCCCATTCGCACAAGACCACAAAGAAACACATTTCTACTTTAGTTTCGTTCTGTTCTTTTCTACTGAACGAAAATGTACTGACTTAATCAAACAAAAGGCACTTTTGTGTGCAATTCTATTTACTTTAATTAATTATTAATTAATAGTTTAATTATTAACATAGAAGAAACATTGTATAGTCGGGGGATAAATGGCATCAAAAAGGGACAAAGGTAATTAATTTTGATAAATATAATTTTGAAACTATAATTTTAAAAAAATCTATTTAAAGGTCAAAATAAACATAAAATTAAAATATTAATATAAATTATAGTTTTTTTATTTTAAATGATTATAAATTGAAAAATTATAAATTTCTATTTCAAAAATAAACAAAAACACCTCAATTTGTTCACTTAAAAAATGTGGAAGTCTAAAACGCAGCACTTTTTATGGTTTGTCTGAAACTTGTTTTGTTAAAGAATTTTTCCTTTGTTTTTTCCTTTGTTTCATTTCTTTTCTGCTCTTTTTCAACTCCAATTGTTTTTATGTTAAAATGGTCTTTCTCTTATCTTTTCTCAATGGAAATGGTTCAACAACGAAAGATTGAAAGATTGAAATAACAAATGATGATTTTTCAGTGATTACCTGACACTTTCAAAAATTGACACTGTTGTTAATTCATTAAACTCTGGCATTTTAACCATATACATCGTGAATATATATTGAAATACAGTTTTTAAACTGGTTTCTTGTATTTAAATTGCTTTTTTATGTTGATTGCCTGTGGTTATTTCATCAAGGGTTCCTTTCTCTTCTTCTTCCATTGTTTTCAAAGATTGAATAATATCAAAAATAGAAAGTTATGGTTTTCTTTTATTATTTTCAAAGTAGTTAATTGAAAAAACCCTTCTAATACTTTTATGGTTAAATAAATTATATTTTATAGTTTTTTACTCAAATTAACTACTTCTGTCCCAAATTAACCCCCTTTATCACCCGACTATAACTCTAATATAATAATACTTATATATCGCTATTTAATAATATGAACAATAACTAAAATCGGAATTACTTTGTATTGGAAATATCTGCCTTACACCATCTGCACTATTAGCACCTTTTTTGGCGTGAAATTTTTCAACCCGGTAAACACAAAATCTGGGGCGCCCATTAATCTTCCGTTGTTGCACTCACCCCTCACAGCCGCGTTTTTCTTCCCAATCCAAAACGCACCGCCGCATACAGAGAATAGCACAGCATTGTTGTCTGCATAACACACAACTCCATAATTCTGGTATTGCAGTGTAACCCGATACATCTGTCTTTGTTCGCTTCCGTTGTGAGTGAGTGTGAACGCAAAGCATTCTCTATCTACAGCCCACTGACTCTCAGTACCAATCTGACAATAACACATCGCTCCAAATTTGTTGTTTTGAGTGTCTTCGACTAAGAAACACAACCGGTTTCTATTGCGCGTGAGATTGTACAAGTCACAGTTGAACTTATCCCACCGATTTGTGTCGGAGTCGAAGACGATATCCCCCATAGCAAGACCCGTCCACTGTTCTATCTCTGATACTTCCTGTTCCGTCGCGTTGTATTTGGTGGTCTTTGGCTCGCTTATGTGCATCAAGCTCTGGATCTCGTTTTTCCTCAGACGGAATTTCTCTTCCTCCAGTTGTAAAATTGATTTGAGTAGTAAATTGTTCTCTTCTTCTACAGTTGCGTTTTGCCCAATTTCTTTGTCAAGTTTGGTTTGCACATTTTTTAATAGCGTGGAGAGCATTTTTAAAGACTCTTTTGAAAGTTGGAAATTGTTAATGTTTTTCTCCAATGCAGTGTACTTTTTTTGTGCTTCTATAAGCTGGGCGTCCAGTGTCTCGTTCGGGTTTCGTGTAAAACGGACATCTGTTTTATTCGCTTTGTATACTTGGTATCTTCGCCTTGTGTCTGTGCACAGGTCTACAATTTTGTCAAGGAGCATCTCTATGTTGTCCGGCTCAGATAACGACATTACAATTATATTATTTGATCCTCAAACAAATGAGAACTGAGAATTTAAAGAAAAACTCAAAAAGGCGGATAAAACATTGGTTCGCATTCCGGATTTTTTGGGTTTATATTTTGTTTCATTATAAAACTATTAGTCTACTAAATTACATTTTTAAGTAAACATACAAAACAATTAAATAAAATAAAAATGTAGAAAATAGTTATCAAAAATAATCTGTTATTATTTTGAACATTTCGATTGTTATTTTAAAGGAAAAATTATGATTAGTAAACCTTTTTTTTTGTTCATTAAAAAAAAAGAAAAACATTGTTAGAATGAAAACTTCACCTATTTGATTAACATATATTTTTTTCAAATTAATAATTTATTATATTTTAAACAAAATTTAAATCATTTAACTAATAGTTTATTTCCTCGATGTAAAAATGTTCAACCCATTTGAGCAAATTTTAAATTATTTTATTACTAACATTACTAGATAATAAATTATGATGAATTAAAGTTATAATACTAGTAAATATAATTATTAGTTAATATCTAACTGTTAGAATTAACTAATTTTTGATAAAATAAATTGTATTAAATATAATAAATTATAAATTTATTAAAATTTTAATTTTTATTATGTTAGTGATATCAACATATCCCAATTTTGTTCTGGACAATTATATCGGTTATTAAAATAAAACATATTACTTCATTAATCATTATATAAATCCGATATTTTGTGTATTTTATACTTACAAATGAAAACAAACTTGTATAATCACTGAGAGAATGGTTGTTCTCGATTCGTATCACATGATGGTAGTTTCTCAGTACTTTCATTCTTTTCTTGACTTCGTTCATATCGAGTTGGTATGCAAGAAGTTTTACAAGACAATGTCAAAATTCCATTATAATCCAATTCCACTCAACCCAAAGACTTTGCACCATTTCCCAAAGATCGAGACTTTATATGTTTACACAATAAAAGATTATACATTTGGCAACGATTTATATCCATTAGACACTACCTACCCACTTCAAAAGTCGACAACAAAGCCAAAACTCTTTTACAAAGTTATGTTTACCTTCCCCATCACGTTCAAACAAACAAAAAAATCACTTCAGCCAAATTACAATTTCAAACACGTCGTTTTCACTCAAGAGGATGCACGCAGCTTTCATGGAAACTTCCCAACGTGTGTGAACGAACTTGACACCCGTTGTTTTAGTCGAGTCTACATCGACACAAAGTCAATTGAAGTTCCACAGAGAGTCACCAAAGTCGGGTCCTTGTGTTTTTATGACAGTGTGTTTGAGAGTGTTCTTTTACCCAACTTTCTTGTTTCACTCGGGTCGGAATGTTTTTCACAATGTAAACAATTGACAAATGTAAAACTTCCACAGACGATCGAGAAAATACCAACAGAGACGTTTTCAAATTGCTTTTTACTCAAAGAGATTACCATCCCACAAAAGGTAACATCCATTGGAAACAAGGCATTTAGGGGGTGTGAGATACTCAGTCAAATCATTTTACCAAACAACCTGAGTGAAATTATGAACTCTGCCTTTGAAGGGTGTAATTCACTTGTTTCAGTCGTTATACCAAAAAGTGTTGTTCTAATACAGGGGTGTGCTTTTAAAAAATGTCGATTTTTAGAGAAATTTGAGTTTGAAGATGGCGTTTGTGGAATAACAGAAATAAGTGATTCACTCTTTGAAGGGTGTGAGATGTTTAAAAGCTTTACAATTGGAGAGAGTGTTACTAGAGTGGGTTACTCTTCATTCAAAAATTGTTTTAACTTAAGGGAAGTCGTCATTGGGAAAAGTGTCCAAATCATTTCGAGATGTGCGTTTGAAGGATGTTCTAAAATTGCACAAATTGCCGTTCCAAAAAGCGTGTTGGAAATTGGTGAGAGATCATTTGCTAAATGTTCTGCTTTATCAAGTATCTTATTTGATGGGAAGAAATACTCGAAATTTGACTTTGAAACAATGTTTAATATTATTCAAACCAAAAATACAACACATATCCTAGACAACTTATTCATTTAAATGATTTGTTTTTTCAAATAAGTGTTTAATACTTTTCAATTTCAATGATTATTTGATCAATTAGAAACACTCATTTTTATTAAAACAATAATATCACTTAATTCAAAAACTGAAACTAAGTAGAACAATGAAAAGATAATCATTGTCCATCATTATTGTTTGTACATCATGTATTTTTTGATTCATAAACAAATTAATTTATTAAAAAAACAAATAACTTTGTTCAATGAAATACTTTATTGTTTGAATAAACCAAATAAGTTTACATTGAATAGACATAAACATTAATAAAGAATGACTATAATATTTTTAAATGTTATGAACACATCAAATAATAATTAATTTACTAAAAGTTTCATTTATTTGAACTTTAAAAAAACAATTTTTTATGTTGAAGCGATAAAAAAATTCCATAAAAAATCAAATAAAATTGACAAAATTTTACAAATTATTCTCATTTTTTGAACTTTGTTTAACCCAATATGCAAGTGTACTTGGAGAAAGACTGAAATACTTTGATGGTTGAGTTTGTTGAAGGTAGATGAGTCCTTTTTGCACACCAAGTAAAGACCCAATTTTTATCGCAAACAATTTTTGATCCTTTCCCCACTTTTTCTTTGCATAACTTCTTCTTGGTTTGATTTCCTCGGATATTTTGGTGTTAATTTCTGTTGTAACAAAAGTCCCCTCGATGACTTCGTAGTACTCGGGGTTTTTTACGGGTAGAAATGCACTTTCCATTTTGTAAAATTAACATTTCAGTTCTCTTCTTTATCATTGCACAAAAAAAAATTCTGCCTTTTTTCATTTATAATAATCCCAATTTTTTCTGACAAAGTTTGTCATTAATTTGATGTTGTTGTTAGGTTGAAATTTCTTTGGATTTTTTTGGGTTTTTCAACTCTGAAAAAAATATTCAAATTTTTTTAAAAAAATGGGTGTTTAAATTTATAAATTATTATGTATAATAAAATAAATAATACAGAATAGTAACAGTTTTTCAATTTGGACAACACTCTTCCAAAATAATGATGAAAAATAAACAATAATAATTAATATAGTTTGAATTAATTATATACAATAATACTAATAGGATTTGTTATTTAGGGAAAAAATCATTTCGGCTTTTTTTATTGATTTTTTTCGTTGAAAAGTTTTATGAAATTATTTAATTAAAAATCATAATTTATGTTATACATAACAATTTCTATTATTATATATTTTTTTATTTCTTGGTTTATATTATAGTAAAAAAATGATTTTGAATAAATTAAATAGAATAATTTGAAGTCTTGTTTTTTAATAATTTTTTAAACAATCGAATATTCAGCTGTTTTTTTATAATCATTCATTTTAACCTATAAAATAACTATAATATACACTTATAATATAATACTAATAGAAGTCTCATTTCCTACAATATTATTATTAAATGAAACAAATAAATAAATTTATAAAAAACCAAAAGTCATTTAATAGAATTCAACATAAAAAGAACTTCTTACTGTTTATTATAAAGATGAGTTTATCAGAAAACCAAATTGATCCAGTAACTTTGCGCCTTCAAGAGGAAGAAGAAATCCGGAAATACACAACTTTAAAGGTTGACAACGATGAATCAAGACAAGCATTTATTGCAGGACATAAATTAGCACAAACAATATCTTACAAAGAGCGTTGTGCTTGTTATGTGACACAACAAAAGTGTCAAAATGATTTGAATGAGATGGCCGAAAAACACGATGCATTGGTCCAACAATACAACACTCTTTATCAAGGATATTTAAATGTGCTTAATCAATGTAATGAATTTCAAAAAGTGAACCAGCAATTAACTCAAACCCATGCCGAGTTAAACCAAACTATTCTCACATTGCAATCCAAAGGCGAGAAGGATATTAAAGACTATAACGAACTTATTTCCAAATTTAATAATCAAAAGGAAGAGAGTGAACAAAAGTATCACATTTTATATTTGGAAAAGGAAAAATTGTACAATGAGACTCAATCGTCGAAACAACGTATTGCTTTGTGTAATAATAAAATTGCGACACTGACTGTGGAAAAAGACAAATTGAAAAAGGTAAACGCAAATATTGAAGACGAAAAGAGTGCATTAATAAATGAAAAGGTTGCGCTCAAAACAAAGATCAACAGCCTTGAAAGCGACAACGAAAGCATTATAAATGAGATGAATACCCTTAAATTAGTTCTACAAGAAGAAACTGCCACAAAAGAAATTTTGAAGAAGAACATCGATGAACAGAAGAAAATGGCTATCATTGCCAAGAACGAAGTTACACAAGAAAAACAAGAGAACATTAAACTTAAAAAAGAGTACACTGAACAAATAAAGAAACTAAAAGACGATACTAAAACCCAAGTCGAACAGGCAGAGAGTCAAAACGAAAAACTGATGTTGGACATAAACACACTGAAAGTCCAAATGGAAGCGCTCGAATCAGAAAAATTAAAATATGAAAAAAAAGTCGAAAAAGTCACTAAACAGAAAGACAACGAAACATTACTCAAACAACAAAGCGAAGAAAAATTGATCAACTTGGAAGCACAAAACTCAGACCAACAAACAGCGTTGGACAAGCAGAAAACAGACATCTTGTCATTGAAAGAGAAAGTTGATAAATTGGAGAAAGACGTTGACGCTGCACAGATACGGTCCACTGACTTGTCGACTCAACTTCAATCTGTCGAATTAGAGAAAACAGTATTAGAAAAGGAGAGAGAAGAATTACATTTACAACTCCAAAGATTTAAAGAAGAGTCGGAAAGGACGACTCAAAGACTTGAAAATGAGACCAACCAAATAAAACAAAACTCTCAAAAGAATGTCACAACACTTGAATCACAAATAAGTGATTTAAAGTCCCAGTTATTTGCACTTGAGAACAAATCAAAAGAACAACAAGAGACTTATGAAAACGAAAAAAGAGAATTAACAATACTGAACAAAAAATTGCAAACAGAAAACACTGAACTTGTGACACTAAACAATATTAAAACAAAAGCAGAAGAGGAAGAAGCAAAAATATTTGAAAAAATACACACCAACCAACAAAAGGCACTCTCTATGTTGTGCGCGTTCAAAACATTTAACTGGAAAAAAGTTGAGGGGACACCAACCAAACGCGCCGTGTTGTGTATGAAGTCCATGTTTGTTGTGAATAACAGAGAGTACTTCAAAGTCGAAGTCGACTTTTCAATGTGTGATGTCAAACCTAAATTAGCAGGGTTATATATCGAAACTCAACAAAATAATACGTTTTTATCACTTCAAATTGTAGAAAGCAACCAAGTCGTGTTCGTTGTTGGGAAGAAGGGAATGTTCGAGGTGAGAGGGTTTGCTGAAGACAACTTGAACAATTCAACTCTCCTCAAGATCAAAATTTGATTTTTGATGGGTTTTGTTAAGTTATAAGTCAGTTGTTGACATAATGAATTTAATAAAATTATCATAACAACACACTAAAAACGTTTAACCCGCGAATGGTCGCATGTTTTACACGTTTTTTTTATGAAAAAAATGTGTAAATATTATTTTAAAAAATAACACACTGCATGAGAAAGCCATGCAACCAATAATAACAATTATAAACAAAAATCATAAAAACAAATTAAAATAGATATTTTTGATTGGCTTTATAGGGGAAATTAAACAAGTCGCCATTTTTGCCAATAACCAAATGAGGTCTACGTGAGAACTATTTGTATAAACAGGAAATTTATTTTTATTGTTGATGCAAATATCCCGATATATTACTACCACAAAAATATCAATTTTGATTGTTTTAGAAATCAAATTGATTGATACAATCTTTACATTTATAAATTCGGATAGAGTGTTTAAAACAAACATGTCTACCACATGACACACAAATATTTTTAACGGAATTTCGTTTTCCTTTAATTTCTTCTTTACAAATCGCACAATCAGAAGCGGTTTTTTGAATAAAAATGGGTTGTTTAATGTCATTCTTTGTAAATGTTTTCAAAAAATAAATAACAGCTTTTCTGGATCGTAGATTTAAATGATTCAATTTCCTCTTTTTAACATTGTTAATAATTAAGTGTATCGCGACATTTTCCATAATTTCAATTCTGTTAATTTTTGTTTGTGATGGTTTTTTGTTGTGTATAATTTGAGATTTCATGATAACGTACAAGTTGTTAAATGCCAGATTTAACATACAGAAAAACAAAGCTAAAGTCCACCTTCTTGTTATTTTCTTTGTATCGGTTCTTTTGGTAAGTGAGTCAACTATATCAACTCCTCCCATAAATTTGTTATAATCTATATTAACAGTGGTTCTATTTGGTAATCTTTGTGTAGAATATTTCGATCTAATATTTGGTTTTATTGATACTTTTTCACTTGTATTTACATCCACTTCGTTGGGTTTAGTGCTAGACAGTAATAGTACATTAGTTTTCTTATCAATAAAACTCGATAAGTAACTCCCATTTGAACAATGATATGTTACTAAAGACCCATCTGTGCGCTTTCCTTTTCTTTTCAATTCATTTGGTACTTCCTTCCTTTTTGA